AAAAATATCTAATGTGGAAAATTTTCTTAAATTCAAGTTTCCATTAAGATCAAAGCAATGAAATCCATTCATAATTCAAAATATTCCTTCGACAAAATTTAATTTTTATAAAATAACATCCAAACACTGAAATCAAATAATAAATATTCATCTTCTTTAGACAAAATTAAAATTAAATCCTAATACATTATCGTTAAACATATTACCAAGAAAAAATCAAAACATTAATATCAATCTATAATTCAAAATTTCCCTTCGACAAAATTAAACCCGAAAACATTATCGTTAAACACACACCGAGTTTGTTCTTGATGGAAAAAAAAAAAAAAAAAAAAAATATATATATATATATGTGTGTGTGTGTGTGTGTGTGTGTGTGTGTGTGTGTGTGTGTGTGTGTGTGTGTGTGTGTGTGTGTGTGTGTGTGTGTATCACTGTTTTAAAAAAATACAGTAGACTTTAAATGCAAATTAACTAAAAGCAGAAACAGAGGTTTTAACGTAGGACTATTTTGGCAACTGCAGCTTCAGGAGAGAATGATTATCACCTGCTTTTTCTGAGCAAGTTCGCGGTTTACACTGCCATCTCGCATAAAGATAGTGATAATGGTAATGTTAATAAAAAAAAAAATAATCGATGATGATGATGGTGGGGGTGGTGGTGGTGGTGGTGGTGGTGGTGGTGGTGGTGGTGGTGGTGGTGGTGGTGGTGGTGGTGGTGATGGTGGTGATGATGGTGGTGTTGATGATGATGATGATGATGATAATAACAATAATAAAAAATGCAAATAAAAAAAACAAATAGCGAAAGCAACAATAATAATAATAATAATATAAAAATAATAATAATAATAATATAAGCAATAACAATAATAATCATCATAATAATAATAACAACTAATGACAATGATATAGTTGATATCACTGTCATTAGTCTTTATAATATTGTCACTTGTCTTTAATTACTAATCCTCTATTCTGCATTGATAAATAGAGTATACCCTAATGCCATAAATGCTTTTAAACTTTACGAATAAAATAACCATTCCATTCAAACATCACAAAAATTACAACTCCAAGCTCATTCATTCAAGCCTAAGCACATTCATTCACAAAAGTTACAACGCTGAGCTCATTCATTCACAAGATTACAACTCCAAGCCCATTCATTCACAAAAAAAATACCTTTTACTATTTCATTCATTTAGACTCCGATTGCCTCAGGTCAGTACAGGGGTTATATGTACATCATTACGTATAATTTGAAAGTATAGAGTGAAAGTATGTGTGTATATACATATGTACCCGCATATACATACACAGTGTAAGTGTTTAAGGAAATTTTACGGTATCTGTCTTTAAACATGATTAATGACAGAACTATAAAAAACAACATTCTATAATGATAATAATCAAGATAATGATTATAACAACAATAATAATAACAATTAAAAATAAAACAACGAACACGATAATGGTGATAATAATAACAACAAAGACAATGATGATTATAATGGTGATAAGTAACCAGAAAAAATAATGATGATGATGATGACAATGATAAAAACAATATCAATACAATATCAATGACCATAACAATAGCAATAATAACGATAATAATAACAATAGCAACAACAACGAAATTAATATCAACAAAAGTAAAAAACCCAACGATACTAACGTTAAATAATAATAATAAGAAGCAACAATGAACACACCAGCAATACCACCCATATATAATGACCCCCCCCTCCCCCTCCACCTCGCAAAAAAAAAAAAACTTTAATCCCAGAGAGTGGCCAACGTTTAAACGGTCCCATAATTAACCGGCAAAAACCTGCTCAAGAAATACGTAATTGGGCTTCACACTCAAATAACGTTCGCCTTAAAAGAATCCCGTGTTTGAGGCTGCGATGTTGCAAAAAGATAAATTGGTGGAGAAAATATATTGGCGGAGAAAATCGATTGATGGAGAAAACAGATTGATAAGGAAAATATGTTAGTTATGTCCATAGGGTGGATGTTGTTATGACAGATGAGGGAAAGGAAGGAGGAAGGAGGAAGAGGAGGACGAGGAGGAAGAGGAGGATGAGGAGGAAATGGAGGAGGATGGGGGATGGGAGGGGGAGGAAGAGGAGGGGGAGGAGGAGGAGAAAATGGAGGAGGAGGGGGGAAGGGAGAAGGAAAAGGAAGAGGAAAGGAGGAGGAGAAAAGGAGGAGGAGGAGGAAAGGAGGAGGAGGAAGAGCAGGAGGAGGCGGAGGAGAAGGAGGAGTAAAAAAGGAAAGAAGAAAGAACAAAAGTAAAGGAAGAGGGAAACAGGGAGGAGGTGGAGAAGATGAAAGAGGAGAACAAGGCAGAGAAAATGGAAACATAGAAGGAGGGAGAAAAGACGAAAAAAAAGATAGAGGATTGGCGAGGAAGGAAAAGAAGGAAAGGGGATAGAGGTAAGGATAAAGACAGAACAGAAAAGAAAATAGCAAAGCGAAAGAAAGGGAAGAAA